AATTAAAATTTATTTTCTATATTTTTTAATGATTATAATTATTATTTAGTACACACTGAATGGCGTCGTGAAAAAAGTGTGTCAGGAAAAGACTTCCGTTTTTTATTTTAAATGAGACTGCGAAATTGTTTATCGTAAGTTAGCCAAGGCCTAGAACTCTGTGTATACAAAACAAAGCATTTTGGAAAAATCGGGGAAAGCAGTTTGCCAGGATTTTTAAAAGTTAGGTCCTGGCCACATGGATGCTGTGGACGCTTGCAAAGTTTCAAAGGTGTGGGTTAGGTAATAAAGGAGGAGTTTGTGCTCAAAGGCTAAATGTTTGGTGTGTTCCGTGTGCTCATATGACCTTATGCAGTTGCGATCGCCGTAAAACACTTACCAAAAAAAATAGACCTCAGTTTTGCTTTATCAAATGTTTCCCTGAAGTCTCTAAGGACTTAACGCATCCCACTTATTTTTGGCGAAAGCAAAAAACCTGACGTGATAGCCTAATGACTGGTTGTTTTGATCAAAATGATCCAATCGTGACCTAAAATGAAATTAAACATGTTTTGATTTTTGAGATTTTTGTTAGACTTTGCCAAAAAAGGTAGATTTTGTACCCCCTTGGGGAAAAAAATACAACTTAAGCTGCCCTCATCTGTCAAAAACTATTAAATGGAGATTTGACGTAACTGCGATGTGAGCATGAGTCAGTATTAACTACACCGGCACACTATTGGTCTCAAACGAGTGAACACTGCTGGCCGGTACAGCGGAGCGTGACAATGCAGACTAACGCCTATCTCGCCCACAGGAGCCAGAGTAAAAGTACGTGGGTATAACAAAAGTGGGTCAGAGAAAGGACAGGCCTGAAAGGTCTCGCGCTACCAATCTGAACACAATGTTTATTGTGTTGACCGGGCCGACTTGTTGGTGGTACTGGCGTCTGCTACATTGGATTGGTTTATAGGCTTTCCGATTTTGAACTGAAAAGACGTGAGTTCGATTTTTTTTTCTAGTCTTTCCGGCGGCCTGCTCGAATGCTGTCTCCTTTTCTATGAAGGTTTGCACTTGCAGGGTTAAGGAGCCAGCCTTGTATTTTGAACGTTAATGACAGGGATTTTATTACTGGACAAAACTGTCAAAGAAAGATCTGAAAAAAATATTTTATCTTTACCTTATGGCGCTTTGAGAACTGGTCAACAATATTATACCTACCTTGCTATTGAAAAGTAATGAAATGAGTCCAATGCAGAACAATTGAAACATCTCAATAAAAACAAAATTAGGGTTTTTAAAAGTTGTCTTCTATTATACGTTTTCGAATGCTATACAATTACTGAAACTATTTAAAATAAATTAGAAATAAGGAATGTGTTTTAGGAAGACTGTTGAGAATTTCCAGGATTCAAAATTAATCAAATGAGGTAGCACTTAATGAAACCAACGTATGTCGTTCACGAATAAAAACAATAAGAAGGGAGCAATATATGTAGTTTCCTAGACTAAATTTGAAGCGACATAAAGGCTTTCTGCAACTTCTTCTAACTGTAATTTTAAAAAAGGAAGAGAAGAAGAGATGGATCAAGAGTAACTTACTTGGACACTTTGAGCAGATGGTGACGTGAAAAGACCCGGGTAGTAAGGGTTTTTTTTTAGAGAACGTAAGAAGAGAAGTGCATGACGGTCCATGATCGCCGGTGTCAGTTTCAGGTCTCGGACTTAAATCATTGAAGAAGAAGGTGCTCTGAGAACTGGTCAACAGTACACATTTGACAGCGAAAGACAACTTTGATAATTTGGAAACGCTTTGTCTATCTAAAACTATTTCAGTATAAGGAAAAAATAAAAATGATTCCAGGTTGTCTCCCGTTGCTGTTCCTAGCCATTTGTTTGGCCTTTTTTCAAGCATTAAAAGACCATATCGATATGCTTTTGTTTACTCAAACAAGCATCAAGAGTATAACTGGTGGGTGGTAGGCGGGTGCTCTGGTGTGGTTTGCTCCTTCTTTCCTATCAAACATTTGTTGTTCTTTTCTCCCCTCCTTATATTTTGTGTTTGTTACTCTCTTGTAACACCTCTAATCTTCAGCACTTATATGACCTTATTGTGTTGCAAGTGCCGTAAAACTCTTACCAAAACTAAAAAACTAAAATAACTGAGATTAGTAGGGTGTAGCCAAGGAGACGTTTAGCCCAGCGAGGAACGAGGGCGCCGGCAAAACATTGTCGCAGCCGAAGTTTAGCGGCCCACAGTTATTCTGAACCCTCCTCAAGGCTTGACTATACTGACATGTCTCGTTTTGTCTCTCAGCCTATCACGCCTTTCTTATCTCGGAGATCATGGCGTTAAGTTCCAAACCACGTGACGGACTACTTCACGAAGACAGAGAGCCTCAGCTTGGGATACCGTTGAGTTGTTATTCTTTAAAAAAACCCGACAAGAACGAATTTTAGAAAAGAAGCAAAACAATTAGGAAATACACAGACATTATGTCTAAATCTATGCACTATTAAGGTTCCTGTTAACACCCACCGAATTTTGGACACACTCAATTGACAGTGGAATGCTCTTCATGAGAAACAGACCAGCAGTGTGGCGTGTTTATTTTCACTGTGAGTCGTGAATAATCACTCAGACGGTCAGGAAAACGCATCAATGTGCCCCTTTGCTGAACTGTGAGGATTTATAGAAATATTGGATCAACTGGGAACTGCCTTCGTGAATGAGTTCAAGGTTTGTGTTTTTATACCTTTTTTTCTTGACGATCTTATAGAAATAATGGGGTCGGCCCACTTGGAGGTGTACCTCGATGTTTCTGTTAAACTTAATAATCTGACAGTTGTTCCATTTGACAGTCTACTTTTGAGTCACAATACTTTTAACATTTTCCTCTGCATTTACAAGCTTGGGGTTGGAAGAGTTCTGCCGAGGGCCGCATTTACCGTGATAAGGTACAATGAGCAAAATATTCAAGAGTTAGGGTTTGGGTTGGGGTTAGTGTTAGGGTTTGTTTTTGTTTTTTAATTCAGCTTCCAACATTGTGTCCTTCTTTCTTTTTACCCTTCCAAAATACTGAGCTCAACTTGTTTTGTATAGATCAATCCCGCTCAAAATATCCTCTCTGTTGTGTTGTTGGTCGGCCGGCCCTCTGGGGAACTCCTTCCCTTGGGGCTGTCACTGGTTATTTCAAAATTATTTTGTTTATCTCCTCTAAAAATCACCACCACCACTGTCACAATCGTTATCGTAACCACCTGTACCATCATCATCACCACAACAATCGTCATTTTTAACTATAAAATATATTATTATTATTATATTGTTCATAATGATTTTTGTTCTGCGCAGCTGTTGCGACCCCGACAAATCTTCAGACACGGCTAACGCCAGAATAGTAATATGTAACGCCAGAATAGTAATATGTAACGCCAGAATAGTAATATGTAGTTGCTTAAGTAGCAAGACGCACAGTAAAGGGATCAATCCTCCCCCCCCCCCCCCCCCAACCTCCTTCCATCACCGGCCACAAACACAGCACCTGCAGCGGTAAGGTCTTTGAACATCACTCCACGACAAACACAAAAGTCAACCCGTCCAACATTCATCTATTACAGGGACCAAAGGCTCCTGAGTCAAAGTTTTCTTGAGCTTTCCATTTAGACCTACTACGCATAACCTGGGTCTCCGCTCGCTTATTTCCACATGAAGACCAATCCGACGCTGTGCGCAAAAGGAGTTTTAACCCTCCAATGGTCGCTGACAAGTATCTAATGGTGTGATAAGATAAGATAAGATAAGATAAGATAAGATAAAATACATCTTTATTGTCCAGATCCTGGCACATTGGTTTGGTGTTCCACCACGAGTACACACACACACACACACACACACACACACACACACACGCACACACACACAAACACACACACACACACACAAACACACACACACACACACACACACACACACACACACACGTACACACGTGCACACACATGCACACACAAGTAGGCTTACAATCACATGCATAATATAAATGAGCAGCAATATAAACAATAATAATCGTAAGCTAGATACACACTCAATGTTATTTTGATGCATGCTCTAAGGTCGTAAGTACACTAAACAAGATGGTTAAGATGGAAGCATTTTGATAGATGATGGTAAAAATGACCTTCTGTATCTTTCTTTGTTACAGATCAGAAGCATGAGTCTTTTACTTCTGACTGATGTTTTTATTTGAGGGAACAAGGGATGTTTGTTGTCTAAAAAGATGGAATTAATTTTCTTAGTGCATGCTGTTATGTACAATTCATCCAAGTAGGGGAATGAAGATGTTGAAATTTTACATGCTTTCCGTATGAGAGGAAATAATATGATTTCAACATAGTATGTTCAAACATACTTCAGAACAGGCAAGCTGAGCACGTAAAGGCCTTACTAAAATTAAATATTTTCAGAAAGTAGAATGTAAATAGGAAGTACAATTTATTTGTGAAGAGTTAAAACGTTTGGAGATTTTTTTTAAACACGACGAAACAACCGAAATAACCTCAAATTACGCTAATTATAAATCGTCACAGACCGAAAAGTACGGCCTATTTATTCGGCCATCAGCGCTTGAAAACTTAAACTTTTTTTATTTTTAAAATTGGGAGCTGCAACTGGGTGTTTCGTGTTGGCACTTGGGAGCCTGTGCTGAGGTTGATTTACTTGTTTAAATACCCTTAGTTCACACTCATATTTCATTATTTGATTTCATTGACTCGTACGTGCCTTGCATTTCTCCACAGCGTTACATATATCATGGGTTGGTGGAAAGGGAAGGAACGATTTTCGGAGAGAGGGAAATGATGAGTCTATAATTATAGTAGGAAGCCTTCTAAGTGCACGTTGTGTAACGCTGGTGAAAGTACATAGTCCTGTCTTATCTTTTCTAATCTTTTCTTATTTTATCTTATCTGCACAGTTTACTTTCACCACTAGTCCCCGAAATAAATCAATCTACCTGTCGATATACTATTGTAGGTATTATGCATAGTTGTTTTGCGCCTCTACTGACTAAATTCAGATACCATAGAAAATTTAGGTGGCGGGCTACTTCAATCCCTCTCGTCAAGGCCAACCCAGGCTGACAGGGATACAACGTCCTGGCTGACGAACGGATCACCTGATCGACTCACTTCTTCTGCTTGGGACGGAGAAGCGCCCTATTGCGGATGCCTATTGGTCAAACTGACCCGATCTCGCTATTAGATCGAAACGGGTTGGGTTGATTTATGGCGAGTCCAGTGCACATTTGATCAAACTCACTCTTGCTTTGCTTCACCAAATTTGCCCCGGAAGGTTAAAATGATCTGTTGCATTCTGCATGAAAACATAAGATCTGGCCCCGCAATACACAACAAGCCTTCTGATTGGTTGTTTTCATCAAACGTATCAATTGGCGGCCTCCTCCTCCTCCTCCTCCTCCTCCTCCTCCTCCTCCTCCTCCTCCTCCTCCTCCTCCTCCTCCTTCTTCTTCTTCTTCTTCTTCTTCTTCTTCTTCTTCTTCTTCTTCTTCTTCTTCTTCTTCTTCTTCTTCTTCTTCTTCTTCTTCTTCTTCTTCTTCTTCTTCTTCTTCTTCTTCTTCTTCTTCTTCTTCTTCTTCTTCTTCTTCTTCTTCATTATAGATAATTTACGCTTCTATCAACACAATTTAGTCCACATAGGGGTGCTGGCTGTTTCCACCCAGCCTGTTAAGACCACCCTGGCTAAATAGGGCGCAGTTTTCCAGCACAGATCGTTAGGTATACCAAATTAAATAAATTCCAAAAGTATTATTTTGACCGGGAAACTAATGTGCTTGTCTTGCGTGTAGTTACAAACAGCCACAATATCACAACGTTCAGTTTAGCGAAGGGGTAGGGGATCAAATTTCACTAGGGATTAAATAAAAACTAAACATAATTATGCCCCATTGAATGTAATACCCAGAAAACAAGGAGCCGCCACCACCGGTGTTTGTAGTGTAGCGGTTTACCGTTGCAGGCAGAAGACGTGAATTTGATTCGCTGTTAGAAAATATCCGTCAGTTCTTCTGGTGCCGTGGTACATTTTATCGCTCTGAGTCCATGTTGGCCCTGAGAAACAAGGTCAGAGCATCCTGTCTCCTAAATGAAATAAATAAATAATTATGTAAATGAAGGCGTAAAAACATCTTTAAAAACAGTTCTGTTGAATTTTAAGCCACTTGGCAATGCTCTTAGACCTCACTGGTAGGTGTTACCGGTATTATTCTCTGAACGTCTAAAACAGGATTTTTTTTGATTTTTTTTTTGGGGGGGGGGGTGAATTCAGGGTGAAGCTCTGCTTGTCCCAGCATGAGTTTTTCATTGTGTATATTATTTTGAAGACATCATTATGTAACACGACGGCAACAAACTAAAGGATCGCTTCCAGAAAACGACATCCTCTAGGATGATAGAAAAGTACCATTGGACCTTAAAAAAAAATTTAGTGAAGATCAAACGTATTTTTGGCTTAGTAACATATAGCGCTGTTTTTGCACGTGCTCTATCGACGTGCTTAACAAAACAGAGAGAAATAAGAACTATGTCCCTTCAATATCGAAGACCATGTGTTACGAAATAGTTTTTGGTGTGTGATTATTTTTTCTGAGTGCTTGATGTGAATGAAAAAGACCGAGAGAGACTGAGTGGTGCGAATGTATGTATTTGTTTATGTGTGTGTGTGCGTGCGTGCGTGTGTGCTTGTATGAGAGAGAATGAACACGAATGGAGAGAGACGGGGAGAGAGAGAGACAGACAGACAGACAGACAGACAGACAGACAGACAGACAGACAGACAGACAGACAGGCAGGCAGGCAGACAGGTAGACAGGCAGACAGGCAGACAGACAGACAGACAGACAGACAGACAGACAAAGACCAAACCTCGGTAGGCAGACTTGATATCGTCCCCAGCATCGTTTTTTAAACAGTATCTTTTACTTACTGCGTTACCTCCGTGTGCGCCCGTTCAGTCTTCTTTACTTTTAAAACATTTACTTTAAAGTGTTTTCTTTAACATATTGGGTAACCTTGGAGCGTGACCGTTCAATGTTTATACTCTAAAACAATCGTGTACTGACTGCTTTACCTCAGGGGGTAACCATTCTGCTGCTTGTATTTAGTTTGAGGCCATGTGTAGCCCTGTGCTCAAAATTAAAACATTAAGAAAAAAGAAGTAAGATTAGAGAAAAATAGTCAAGCTTTTCTTTTCCCTTGCCCATTTATATGAGATTGACGCCATCTGATGAGTAGGAAAAAAAGTGAATATGATAGTCTCTAATAGTGTAATACGTGCATACTTAGTATAAGAAGTAACTGTAATAGCAAAGATTCCAGGATTATAGATGTAAATCACTGATCTGAGAGCGGTGATGATTTTAGATATAATGGTTGTGATGAGTGATGAATAACCAAGCTAATCCTCCAGTCTTCAGGCAAATAGTCCTTGCGAACAATATCAGAGATTTTGTCGACAGGGCAGCGAGACAACAGAAGATTGTGAGCAATTTCCTTTAGCTTATTTCGTTAACTTTAAAAAGGCCAGGGAGATTTTGCTTGAGGTCGGCTGCAGACCCAGCCTATACGAGGTTCAGAATATTTCCCAAATGTTCAAACTGTGAGAAATTGCAGTCGACAAGTGTTGTTATAGAAGTGACAAGCGACTTATAACTGCATTCACAG